GGGGAAGGAGTACAGAAAACATGGAGATTTTGGGGAAGGCGGGTTGAGGAGATTTGTCGTAATCTACAATTAAAAAGGCAACCTACATTAATCTTTCTTCTCGTATAATTTTATTCATAAAATTGTTTAGATTTCCAACTAAATGGAAATTGCCAAGGAAGTAAATGGAGGAGATGTTGAACGTAAACAAAAAAAAAAGGAAAATGACAAATTTTATTATATTAATTGATTTATTAAGAACTTTACCGTGTTTTCCACAACGATGGAACATACATAAACACAATAAAGTTTTAAAATGTTTATTACGATAACTAAAGTGGATGTTCAGAAAGAGATCAAAACATAAAATAATATCTTTTTTCGCATCATTCTATGTTTGAATAATACGTTTCTTCTTCGTAAGAGAACAAATAGAATTATAACCACACGGAAAGAAAACTTTAACACTTTTCTTAAAAAGCTTTATTGAGAGGTAGAACAAACCTTTTAAATATATGCAGTTTTTTGGAATATAATTTTATTCGTCAAAATAATTTAACTACTCGTTCAATGCGCATTAAAATTGGGTATACATGGATCGGGTTAGTTCGGTTTTTACCAAAACCAAACCAAACCAACTATATCGGTTTGGATTGGTTCGATTTTGTCGGGGTTTTCGGGTTTTTTTTGTTACATGAATATTATTTCAATCTTACTTTGTTAAAATTATAGATAAAGCTTTGATAAGTGAATATATGTTTAGCAAATATGGAAAAAATTGACAAACATATGATCTATTAAAATATTCTAATGGGAGAAATTTTTTAGTAACGCGTGATAGTTATTTTCTTAGTCGTCTAACAATAATTTTTTCGTTAATTTACACTTTCAGGGTTAATATATGAGAGGATCCCAAATATTTCTATATTTTTTAAAGAAAAATCACTATAAACTCTTAAAAATATAAATAAAATTTATATATTTATATGTCGGTTTGGTTCGGGTTTTTTTTTATTCAATACCAAACCAAGTCAAACCAAACCTAGTCAGGTTTTTTAATCGATTTGGTTTGGTTTTTCGGTTTGGTGCGATTTTCCGGTTCGGTTTGAACACCCCTAGAAATTGTAATGAATATTCTTATTTAGCAATTTTGAGTTGAGCCTAACTAATGTTTAGCTTAAAGCATATATATTTCTATGTATATCGCCTCATATTTTACTTTTGTTTCGTGAATTTGTGATGTTAAATTCTATGATTTATATTAATTTGAAGTGTTTTTATGTGTAGGAATGATTCGGGAGCAATTGGAGGTGAAACGCGCAAGATTTGAGCCAAAACGAACGAAACCGAGAAACTTGCGAATTTGGGCGCCACCTGCCCTACCTGTGCCGCCAAAAACAGTAGCTAAAAATATTGGGGCGCCATGGAGGGCTCCTGGCGCTAGCCAGGGCGCCAGTGACGTGAATTTTCTCCAAATTCGCCCGGGACAAGGTTATTTCGGCCCTAGACCTATCTAACACGTATAAAAGCAAGACTAAACCTATTTTTGAAGGGGGAGACACCACTTTGGAGAGGAAATACACACGGGATCGTGAGGAAACGGAGCATTCTGAGTTTTCTTCATTTTTTTCTAGTATTTCCAATTGATTCAACACTTATGCAATTATTTGATTACATTATGAGTGGCTAAACACCCATTGTTCTGGAGTTGTGATTTAGCCATGAATATTGATGTTTGATATTAGCTTGACCTTAATTATAATTTATCAATATATGGTTATTTCTTCAATTCTGTGATTAATTGCTTAATTGTCTGGCCAGCAGTTAGGTTCTATTTACTATCTATGCTATGCTTGGGAAAGTCGTGTTTAGATTAGAGAAGAATTGAAGAGAGCACGATCTTAACTCTTAGGGGGAGCGGATTTGTGGTTAGGATAGGAATATACCTAGTCACCGTGCTTAATTAAATATCGTGATCTTAATGCATTCTTAATAGATTGATTTCATAGGAATATAGGCGTTAATCTATTGAGAATAGGTGAGTAGTACTTCGGGAAAAGGCTATGAGAGCATTTATCGATTAATTAGCAACCATGAGTGAATTATGTGAAAGGGAAAGTAAATTAGAACACAATACAAATGGTGAATCGATCACAACCCTGGAATACTTGTCTTTACTGAATACACAACAATCAATTCGTTACTTGATAATTTCGTTATTATTTAGAATCGTAGTATAGTATAATCACATTATTGGACTTTGATTTTAGCTGGATTGAATAATAATTTTAGTGATTTAGTGAGTAGTTTATACAAGTCTCTATGGGTTCGACACTCAACTTATCATTATATTACTTGTCGACTACGTATACTTGCGTGTGCGTTTTGGAGCAACAAGGTTTTGGCGCCGCTGCCGGGGACTTGAATATAAACTACTTTCTAGTTTTTGCTTTAATTGTTTATTTCTTCTAGTCTAACATTACTCGATTGTTGCTATAATCTCAGAAACTTTGATTGAATGCGTAGGGTCAGAAGCCATGACATACTCAACGGCTTTAACCCTGAACCTGAGAAAACATTTCACAGGAGGTTGAGGGAAGCAAATGATACAAACAATATTCAAGCACTCATTCAATTTCCTATGAACATGGCAGAGGAGCAACATATGGTTGTTGAGGAGGTAGCAATGCCCAGTATTGCTAATGTTACCTCCAGCATAGTGAAGTCCAAAATCACTGGGCACTTTGAGCTGAAACAGAGCATGATCCAGCTACTTCATGCAAACGAGCAGTTTATGGATCTTCCACACGAGGATCCACAATAGCATATTCTGAATTTCTTGGAGATTAGTGATACTTATTTCATTAACGGGGTCAATCCAGATTATGTGAGGCTCACACTTTTTCCATTCTCTCTGTTGGGCGAAGCTAAGCGATGGCTAAAGGCAGAACTAGCTAATTCCATTACATCATGGAATGATTTGGCAAGAAAATTTCTGGCAAGTTTATTCCCTTCAGGCAAAATTGCAAAGATCAGAAGTGAGATAGTTGCCTTCAAACATAAAGTAGGAGAATCTTTATAATCAGGGGGGTAAAGGTTCAAGGGGCTACTCAAAGACTGTCCTCATCACAATAAGACGAATGAAGTGTTAGTTCACACTTTCATAGAAGGGCTCCATCCCCAAACAAAAATTGTAGTCGATGCTGCAGCTGGAGGTCAAGTATTGGAGAAAAGTTTTGATGAAATTTATGCATTATTGAACAAGTTCTCCAAAAGCAATCCGGATTGGCAAGGAGAGATGGGTAGGAACATGGTACAAAAATCACCAGGGGTTCTTGAATTAGATGTTGTCTCATCATTGTCAGCACAGGTCTCTATGCTGACCAACCAAGTCAATCAGATGACCATGATCATTAACAAGCAATAAGCCCAGCCAGTGCAACAAGTTCAAATATTTTGTGAAGTATGTGGAGAGGGTCACATGAGCAATCTATGCCCAGCAAATCCAGGGTCTGTATATTTTATGGGTAATGCAAATTGAGGCCAAACAAATCAGTATGGGGACACCTACAATCCCAACTGGAGGAATCATCCAAACTTCTCTTGGGGTGGAAATCAAGGCAATCAGAATCAATACCGGCCTCAAGCACCTCAACAACAATCCAGACCACCTCAGGCTGAACAACAAGCTAGCCTTGAGGAGATTATGAAGAACTTGATGGCCAACTAGCAAGCCCTCAATCAGAAATTAATAGCAGATCAACAAACTTTCAATCAGAAATTAATAGCAGATCAACAAACTTTCAATCAGAAAATAATGGCTGATCAGCAGGCACAAGCCGCAACACTGAGAAATTTGGAGCACCATGTGGGCCAACTTGCCAGAGCCCAAAATACCAGACCAGTAGGGGCTCTTCCGAGTGATACTGATCCCAATCCTAAAGCTCAAGTCAATGTGGTTACCTTGAGAAATGGAAGAGCATTAGAAAAAGTTCCAAAGAAAAAGAAGAATATAGCTCATCCCCAAGGAGAATTAGTTCCCAAGCCAATTGAGGGGAATGAGAAAGATGATAAAGAACTCGAGCTAGTAATTGGGAATAGGCCACCACCTCCGTTTTCACAAAGACTGCAGAAGCAAAAAGATGATGCTAAGTATAAGAAATTCCTAGATATTTTGAGCCAAGTGAGTGTGAATTTGCCTTTGGTGGAAATTTTGCAGGAAGTGCCTAAGTATGCAAGGTATCTTAGAGATATTGTGGCAAACAAACGAAGACATGCAGAGTTCGAAACAGTTGCACTTACTGAAGAATGCAGTGCCAGAGTTCAGAGTAAACTTCCTCCTAAGTTGAAGGATCCTGGGAGTTTCACAATTCCTTTGTCTCTTAGAAAACAAGAAGTTGGTAGAGCCCTACGTTATTTAGGGGCTAGTATAAATTTGATGTCATCCTCTTTGTTCAAGCAACTCGGATTGGGGGTGCTTAGACCTACTACAATCACTTTACAGTTAGCAGATAGGTCACTAGTCATCCCAGAAGGAATTATTGAGGATGTGTTAGTTCGAGTGGGAAAGTTTATTCTTCCTGCTGATTTAATTATTTTTTATTACGAGGCAGATGAGGAAGTGCCCATTATTTTGGGGCGACCATTCTTAGCTACTGGTGGAGCAGTTATTGATGTGAGGGCAGGGAAGTTAAAAATGAGAGTTGACGATGAGGAGGTCACTTTTAATGTGTACAAGGCACTTAAGCTCCCTAAGCATTATGAGGACTTGTGCATGATTACTATGGTTGAATTGAAGGGAATAGAGCAGAGTCAGTATGTGAATTATAGTGATCCAGATGGGAGAACTGAGTTAGAGGAGGTGGTGTTTCCAGCTGAGCGTGTAAAGATGATTGAGAAAAGAGCTAGAGATGAAAGAGGAGACCTTCCGAGAGTGTGCAAAAAGGCTAGACTTCATGGGAGAAAGAAGAAGAGAAAGCGCCCAGCCTGAGCAGAGTAGCAGAGTCGTGTCACGACTATAACTATGGTGCTTGTTGGGAGGCAACCTAACCTGTATATCTTTTATTTATTGATTATTTTTGTTAGTGTCAAGTTTTGTGTTGTTTTTATTTTGCAGAGTAGGGGAAGTCCGAGTACCCAAAGTTGAAGCTGAGGAGCATGTTTGAGCTTAAGTGTGGGGTCGTCCCGACTCTAAAGATTGAGGATCATGTCTGAGCTAAGCCCAAGAGGGTTTCAGGGAGTATTTCTCACCCTTGGGTTAATAATTTTCTCTGTGATCATACATCGAGGACTATGCATAATATAAGTGTGGGGTGGGAAAATTACTTTCTGAAGTGTAATTGTATAAAACTAATTTTTTTATTTAGCTTTTCTTTTAGAACTCGTAGTAGACATAGTCTAGTTATGAAAAAAACGAAAATTGAATTTTTTTTTTAGAAAAAGTCCCATTTAAAAACACCAAAAAAAAAAGATTTTTTTATAGAATAGCTAAGTAGTATTCCTTGGTTTTTCTTTAGGAACCGGTTCTTTTCTAAGAATGTAGCTCGAACCGGATACTTTATTTATTTTTTTAGGAGTAGTTTAGGAAGAAATTGAGTCGCTTTGAGATATTCATTGACATGGTTGATATTGTCACATTAGGCTATGACATACATTCTATTTTCCGTGTATTTTGTTTGAATTGTGAGGCCTAAGTAAAGTAAACAACCTATTTTGTGACGCCCTTTTTCAGTTGTTTGACTCGTATGCCACATAGTGCAATATTGCTTAAATTTCTCAATTATGTGTGCTTGCTTGACATGAGAGTTGAACAGAACCATCTTGATTGAGTCATGTGCAACGTGTGTGTGAGGATTTGTGATTTTCTGTGCTATCATGTGTAGTCTAGAACTTGCCCCTTGTGTTAATTGAAGCGAATTTGTAAGTTGTGCTAATCTAGGAGATGACGTAGGCATTTTCTTGCTTGATCATGGATGTGCTTGTCACATAAAAATAAAATTTTCCGTTGCTAGCTGTGAGCACATGATTTTTTCCCTATATGTATTACTCCAACAAATTCAAAACAAAATAATTTCTTTCAGTGTTTGCAATTTTGNCCTTGTGTTAATTGAAGCGAATTTGTAAGTTGTGCTAATCTAGGAGATGACGTAGGCATTTTCTTGCTTGATCATGGATGTGCTT